CTAGTCTCCTCTTGGCCTCGACGTTCAGGAGAAAACATACCAAGGATTTTGCCCTTTTGTCCTGCATTCTCCGGTCACAAAAGTTCCTGACTTAATACCCAGTGCTTAGTTACACTAGAAGAGCTGGCCAGTTTCGGTGAGCACATAAAAAGATCTTGATACACGTGTTGTTAACTGAGCTCTCAACAGGTTTTCAGCTAAATGGGTTAGATGTGAACAGTAGGCTTCTGCCCTGAATTTTACAGAACATTTCATCCAGCAAACACCAGACATAAAGGTCTTTTGACTCAAGGACAAACAAAGATTTGATATTTTTATATCACTTCATCAGAACCTCCTGTTTTTCATGCAATTTTTAATATCAAATATAGATGCAGACTTGTTCCTCCAACATCACGCAGTTGGTTAATATATCATAATAACCTTGATCTTCCTCAGGAACATGTATTAAAAATTGAAATGTACAGAATAATATAATTAACAGAGAGTATAAACCTATTTGCACGTATATCTTCTCCATTAACCAAAGGGTGAAATGAAACTATTCCGAAAATGGGAACAACATTTTATGATATTCTATTTAAACTATACAAATAACAAATTTAACAAGTAGAACCCTTTAACCATTTAGGATCCGAAACAGCACCAAAGCGGCCAGGACGGAGAACCACAGACGCTCCTGCGACCTTAAGAAGGAAGAAGAAGAAGAGGACGAGGAAGAAGACGAAGAAGAAGAAGAAGAAGAAGAAGAAAAAGAAGAAGAAAGAAAAAAGAAGAAAAACAATCAAGAGCAACTACTTCATCAGACGGAGGATCAGCGATAACACGATAAGACATGTCTGGAAGAGCCGACTGCTTATCGAAGAAGAAAGATTAGTTTCTAATGAGGAGATTACAGCACACCGAGAGATAACGCCGTGCAGGTAAGAACGAGAAGATGGAGGAATAGTGATCAAGTGATAAAAAACGAAGAGATACGAAACAAAGAATTCTTGATAAGGAGAAAGGACTGATAAGGATAAAGAAGCGTGGAATGACTGGCGTGCTAGGGAGTGGCGGACGCCGCGTGGGCGCTGACGATCGCCTCGACGACGGAGGGGTCAGCGAGGGTGGAGGTGTCGCCCATCTCCTCAGGCTGACCCGCCGCCACCTTCCTCAGGATCCTGCGCATGATCTTGCCGGAGCGGGTCTTGGGCAGGCCGGGGCACACCTGTCGGACGGACAAGAGGGAGGAAGCGTGAGGACGAAGGAGTGGAACACAGACGACAGGTTCGGGGAAAGGATGGCTCCGGAAGTGTGAATTTTATCTGTTTGAAATGTGATATGTTTGTTTACTCAAGAGTTTTTATTTTCTTCTCTTTCTTTCTGTCTCTCTAGAGGTATCTCTCTCTCTCTCTCTCCTTCCTTCCTCTCCCTCCTTCCTTCCTCCCCTTTCCTCCCTCCTTCCTCCCCCTCCCTCCCTTCCTTCCTCCCATCTCCCTCCCTCCTTCTCCCATCTCCCTCCCTTCCTTTCTCCCTCTCCTCCCTTCCTTCCTCCCCTCTCCCTCCCTTCCTCCCACCCCTCTCCCTCCCTTCCTCCCATCCCTTCCCTCCCCCCTCTCCCTTCCCTTTCCTCCCACCCCTCTCCCTCCCTTCCTCCACCCCTCTCCCCCTCTTCCTCCTCTCTCCTTCCTTCCTCCCTCCCCTCCTCTTCCTTCTCCCCTTTCCCTCCCTTCCTCCCACCCTCTCCCTCCTTCCTTTCCTTCTCTCCCTTCCTTCCCTCCACCCCTCCCCTCCCTTCTTCCCCCTCTCCCTCCCCAAATCAATCACAAACCACAAAACCCACCAGTATAACATCAGGTACAGCATATCCCGCAATGGTAGATCTGACCATCTTCCTGAGCTCGGCGACGATCTCCTCCTCGGGCCTCTGGACGTTCTCCTTGAGCACGATGAAGGCGAAGACCCCCTCGCCCTTCACGTCGTGCGGGAAGCCAACGACGGCGCTCTCGGCGACCTCGGGGTGTTCCGTCTGGGGGTGGAGGGGGGTAGGGGGGTCAAAGGGTTAAAGCAGGGTCGTAAGTCTGTAGGCCTTGTGATGTGGGGTTTTGTCGTTACGTTTTCTGCGTGTTGTGTTTCTCCTCTTGCTAACATGTCGTTATCTCGTGTTTTGCTTTATCTTTCGTGTATTCGTACATGAGTGGAAAAAATGGGTATATTGTATATGCAGTTGTTGAAGGATGAGAATCTGTAAACCGTGATTCACTCTTCAAGTCTATCTAAAAAAGCCAAGATGCAGTATGAATGATAAGATCATTAGCAAAAAAATAGCGGTGTAGGTACTATGTTTAATTATGGGAAAAAAAAATAAGGAAAAGAAGATGAAGATACTCACGATAGCATCTTCCACCTCCGCCGTGCCCAGACGGTGCCCGGTCACGTTGATGACGTCATCCATCCGACCCGTGATTTGGTAGTGTCCATCCTCGTCCCTAAAAGCATGTCTGTCAGTCTATGTGTGCATAAAGCAATGAGAAGAACATGAAAACACACAGTTATGCCGTTTTTTCGTTGTATTGCTTCTTCTGGACAGAGAGAGAGAGAGAGAGACAGACAGAGAGAGAGAGAGAGAGAGAGAGAGAGAGAGAGAGAGAGAGAGAGAGAGAGAGAGGGAGGGAGGGAGAGAGAAGAGAAAGAGAGAAGCAATACAAACAAAAAAACTTTCGACGTATTCGCGTTTTCTTGTTTTTGTTTTTCTTTCGTCGTTTCGTTCAATGTGTTCAATATGAATCATAGACAAGTGCTAATGCATGATTTGCGCGAATGACGTGGCTGTCCCCAAGGTTTATGTAAGTACTCGTCAAGCCCTCGGCGCGGACCCCTCACCTGAGCGCCCCGTCGCCCGAGAAGTAGCGCCCCGGGAAGGGAGCGAAGTACGTGTCGACGTAGCGGCGGTGGTCGCCGTACACGGTCCGCGAGATGCCCGGCCACACGGAGCCCACGCACAGCGCCCCGTTCACGCCCATGCCCTCCACGGCGCTCCCGTCGGTGTCGCAGAGAACAGGTTTGATGCCGAACATGGGTCTCATGGGCATGCCGGGCTTGATGGCAGCCCCCGGAGCCGAGGGGCGCGGGCTCAGCATGATGCCGCCAGTCTCTGCCGAAGGACAACGCGCTCCTTAAGTGTTAATTCATAACGGGTGTTTTGAAAGGATGATGCAGTTCATACAGCCACGATATCCAGAATACCGGACTATTTGTGATATTTCTCTCACATTACAATACTACTGATGATTAAAATCCACTTTTCTATTATTAATGAAAATTGAAATCCATCCTTTTCAACATCGAGTCACATAACAGTGACTCTGCACATGCACCATCATCTTACAACTTTGCTTAGTCCTTCCCGTCCTCCCTCGGACGCCTCACCTGTCTGCCACCAGGTGTCGACCAGCTCGCACCGCCTCTCGCCCACGACGTCGTTGAACCAGTGCCAGGCCTCGTGGTTGATGGGCTCCCCGACGGAGCCCAGGACGCGCAGAGAGGACCGGTCGTACTGCTGTGGCCACGCGTCGCCGTGTCGCAGGAGCAGGCGCAGAGCCGTCGGGGCGCAGTAGAAGTGGGTGATGCCCAGTCGCTGGACGGTGTCCCAGTACCTGCCTGGAGAGGGAACGAGGGGTTGCACTTACCAGCACAGACGCAACGCGGTTATGGGACGGTATATCAAATTTGCGTAAAAACAAAGGATGACACTCTTGTTACGGCACTCCGCGTTCCCGTGTTCTGTCAGATTGTATCTAGTACTAAAACCCGCACAAAATATTTCACGGAATAAGCGGAGAAACATCCCTTTCCACCAGCCTCCTGATAAGCGGACTCACCTGGATCCGGATAATTGGGCGTGCTTTCGAAGAGGACCGTGGTGGCGCCGTTGGCCAGCGGTCCGTAGACCACGTACGAATGCCCCGTGATCCAGCCAATGTCGGCCACGCATCCGAACACGTCCCCGTCTTGGTAATCGAACACATGCTGTTGGCGGATCCGAAAGGCCATGAAAGGTTTTCGAAAATATATTTGTTCACATTAGTAAAGGCGTTTAATCAATACACTCATTCCTCTCAGAGACGTTTAATCAATAGATTCGCCAGAAAATGTTTTCTGTTTTTTAAACGGCGTGTTTGGACACACACACATACACACACACACACACACACACACACACCACACACACACAACACACAACACACACACACACACACACACATAAAGTAAAAGTGAAAATCATAGTTGGCAGCTGTCGGCTGATGGGACAGCTCTATTACATGGCTTAAAAATTACAGCACATTTTCTAATGAATCTATTGACTAAGTACCTCCACGTATGGATCTGCGTGAATTAAAAAAACTCAGGTTGCTAATGAATTAATGGAGAAGAGAAAAAATTGAAAGAGAATATGTATATCCATCCCTCTATCAGTCAATCTATCTATCTTTCTGTCTATCCGTCCCTCTATCTATCTTTCTGTCTATCCGTCCCTCTATCTATCTATCAATTCTATCTGTCTATCCATCCCTTTCTATATATTATTCTATCTATCTATCTTATCAATCTGTCTATCTATATTATCTATCTTTATATCTGTCTATCTATATCTATCTTTCTGTCTATCTACGTAACTATCTATCAACCTATCTGTCTACCTAATCTGTCTATAGACAGATAGATACATTCTCCTATCTATCTATATTCTTTTTTTTATTTGTCCTTTCTTACGAATATGCTATTGAAACTTCCTCTTGCCTAGATCTGACATACCACACAGACTCTCTCTCTCTCTCTCTCTCTCTCTCTCTCTCTCTCTCTCTCTCTTCTCTCTCCTCTCTCTCTTCTCTCACTCCTCGTCCTTCCTCTCCCTCTCCTTCCCTCTCTCTCTCTCCTCTCTCTCCTCTCTCATCTCTCTCTCTCTCTCTCTCTCTCTCTCTCTCTCTCCTCTCCTCTCTCTCTCTCTCTCCTCTCCTCTCCTCTCCTCTCCTCTCCTCTCCTCTCCTCCATCTCTCTCTCTCTCCTCTCTCTCTCTCTCTCTCTCTCTCTTCTCTCTCTCTCTCTCTCTCTCTCTCTCTCTCTTCTCTCTCTCTCCCTCTCCTTCTCCCTCTCCCTCTCCCTCTCCCTCTCCCTCTCCCTCTCCTCTCTCCTCTCCCTCTCCCTCTCTCCCCCTCCCCCTCTCCCCCTCCCCTCCCCTCTCTCTCCTCTCTCCCTCTCTCTTTCCCTTCTCCCTCTTCTCCCTCCCCTCCCTTCTCCCTCTCCCTCTCCCTCACCCTCCTCTCCCTCCCATCCCTCTCCCTTCCCTCCCTCATCCCTCTCCTCCCTCTCCCTCTCTTCCTCTCCCCTCCCCCCCCCCCCCCCCCCCCTTCCCTCTCTCTCCCTCTCCTCTTCTCTCTCTCTTCTCTCTCTCTCTCTCTCTCTCTTCTCTCTCTCTCTCTCTCTCTCTCTCTCTTCTCTCTCTCTCTCTCTCTCTCTCTCTCTCTCTCTCTCTCCCCCCCCATATGCAGAGGAAATGACTACAAAATGGTCCCCCAAAAACATAAACTGGTAACCCCAGCCCCTTATCACATGAAATATTTGTTTTTTTTCTTTTTTTTTCTTGTTTTCCTCGAATGACGGATATTGACTCTTATATCAAATCTCTCTGGACCTTGATAGGAGAATGACTTTTACTTTGCTACTGATACAAGATTTTAGCTTCCGGTGCATTTTGTTAACGAAATGAAAGAAAAAAAGACAAAAAAGAAAAAGAAAAGGAAAGAAAATAAAATAAAAGAAGAAAGAAAAAAAGGAAAAAAAAAAAGTTTTTTAAAGAAAAGAAAAAGAAAAATAAAAAAATATAAAAAAACCTCTGGCAAGATTAGCGTTGCAACAGGAGACTAAACATTGAGATGCAGTGCACGTCGGCAGCTCAGCCTCATGACCCGATACACTTAGGCATTCCCCTCATGTCTCCTTGTCTTTAGTCCTATTTTTTTTACATCTTCATCGTCATTCTTTTTTCCCGTTATTCTTATTATCATTCCCATTCTTATTCTTATTATTCCTATTCTTATTGTTTCCGCAAACATTTTACTTCGCTCAACCCTTCTCTTTCTCTTTCTTTCTTTCTTTCTTTCTTTCTCTCTCTCTCTCTCTCTCTCTCTCTCTCTCTCTCTCTCTCTCTCTCTCTCTCTCTCTCTCTCTCTCTCTCTCTCTCTCTCCTCTCTCTCTCTCTCTCTCCTCTCTCTCTCTCTGCCTCTCGCTCTCTCTCTCTCTCCTCCTCCGCCTCTTCTCTCTCCTCTCTCTCTCGCTCCTACTCTCTCTCTCCCTCTCCCTCTCCCTCCCTCTCTCTCCCTCCCTCTCCTCTCCCTCTCCTCTCTCTCCGCTCTTTCTCTCCTCCTCCCCTTCTCTCCTCGTACCTCTCCCTTCCTCTCCCTCTTCTCCCTCTCCTCCTCCTCTCCCTCCTCCTCCCTCCCCTCTCCCTCCCTCTCCCTCCTCCTCCCTCTCCCTCTCCCCTCCCTCTCCCTCTCCCTCCCCCTCTCTCCCTCCCTCTCTCTCCCTCTCCTCTCCCTCCCTCTCTCTCCTCTCTCCTCTCTCCCTCCCTCTCCCTCTCCCTCTCTCTCTCCCTTCTCCCTCTCTCTCTCCCTCTCACCTCTCTCTCTCTCTCCCTCCTCCCTCTCTTCTCTCTCCCTCCCTCTCTCTCCCTCTCTCTCTCCCTCCCTCTCTCTCTCTCTCTCTCCCTCCCTCTTCTCTTCTCCCTCTCTCTCTCCCTCTCTCTCCCTATCTCTCCCTCTCTTCCTATCCTTATCCCACTTCTTTATTCCCATTCCCATCCCCGCTTTCCAACACCTACCTTATCCCCACTGCCCCAATCCTCACTCTCATCCTTTACCCTCATTCCCAACTCTTACGTCTCCCTCTCCTTCCCATCCCGCACCTTGGGGTGACGGCCGGCGGATAGAGCAGGTAACCGCCGAGCGAGTGAGGACGCCCCCTTGGGAGAGCCTGTGCTGCCGGAGGTGTACAGCAGGAACAGCAGCGTCCTTCGGCATCTTGGACGCGCTGGGGCGCACTCGGGGGAGGCAGCTCGCATCGCCTGCGGGTATGGGGTGAAGGGGTTCAGGGAGGGAGCGTGCATTTGAAGGCTGATGGACAGAAGAAAAGAAAGGAGAATATGTATATCTATGTATCTGTCTGTCTGTTTGTCTGTCTTTATCTATCCATCTATCTATCTATCTATCCATCCATCCATCCATCCATTTATTTATCTATCTATCTATCCATCCATCCATTTATTTATCTATCTATCTATCTTTATCTATCCATCTATCTATATCCATCTATCTATCTATCTATATCTATCCATCTATCTATCTATTCGTCTGTCAGTCAGTTAGTCAGTCAGTCAGGCTGCCTTTCTGTCTGTCTATCTATCATTTGCCAGTCCATCTGTCTATTAAAAGTACTACTATTTTACAAACATAAAAACAATTAAAAATAAGATTGTCTATGCTTCAAGAAGAAAAATGCATTCCCGTATGACCGAAAACCAAAGAAAACAAAAACAAATATATATGATTCAAAAGAAGTAGAGAAATCGTTATATATAACTAAAACATGAAAAAGGAAGACAAAAAAGGCTTATTTGAATAAAAGAATGAATAAATTCAGTCACATATATGTCAAGGAAGAAAAAGTACGGGCGTATATGATCAAAATCAGAAAAAAATCGCACTTTCATATTTTACCTGAACTGCCTCCTCTCTCTCTCTCCCTCTCTGTCTGTCTCTCTCTCTCTCTCCCTCCCTGTCTGTCTGTCCTCTCTCCCTTCTCTCTATCTCTCTCTCTCTCTCTCTCTCTCTCTCTCCCTCTCTCTCTCTATCTCTGTCTCTCTCTCTCTCTCTCTCTCTCTCTCTCTCTCTCTCTCTCTCTCTCTCTCTCTCTCTCTCTCTCTCTCTCTCTCTCTCTCTCTCTCTCTCTCTCTCTCTCTCCCTCCCACCCTTCTCTCTCTCTCTCTCCCAGTCCCTCCCTCTCTCTCTCTCTCTCCCTCCTCTCTGTCTGTCTCTCTCTCTTCTTTTCCTGACCTCCAAGGCGCGAGAGAAAGTCGACCGAATACCTGATCTAAATGCACGTCCTTGGCCCCCATGTGGACCTCGGCGCCCGTCCGAGTGCCGACGAAGACGTGCCTGACGGAGGGACACTTCGCTACTGCAGCGTCGACCACTTTCTTCAGGTGGATCGTCTTTCCGCCGCGAACCGACTGGTCAGCTGTTATGACGGTCTCTGCGCCAGCTGTCAGACAAAATAATATTGATCAATAGTAATGATAATGACAAAATAAATAAACACAAATAAAAGGCTTTATTTTTTTCTTTTTTATGATTTTATGTTTTTTTTATTTATTCTCTTTTTTAACGGCACATGAATGATTTTTTTAAAATTTATTATCTTAATAGGTCCAGTTCTTTCGCTGTTTTTGTTTTCCTGTCCTATCTCAATTTTCTGGATAGAATGTGACTTATCTTTATCTTCAATACCTTTTTTTTCTTTTTTTCTTATCATAACTTAGTGTCTAGTATGAACAGAAGCCTGACTGACACTGAAAACACAAACTGGTACATCATTTAAGCTCAATTAAACAAGTTGATAATAATTCATTAAAACATTAATTATTATATATTTTTTTTCATTTCTGCGTGGCTCAACATGAATATCTTTCTTCGTTCTATGGAAAGACAGTTACTGATGTTGAACATTATCAATAACATATAAAGCATTAGCAAACCCTGAAGTTCCTTTCATAATATCAAATTTCTTTCTTCTCTTTCGTGTTTCTTGAAATTGTACTGACAAAAAAGGTCAGATTTTTTCCCTTCCTGTCTTCGCAAACAGACAAGTCAGTTGTGGAAAGGTTGTGAATCTGGTGTCTCTGAGGACGGAGGCAAGATGGGTCGCTTTGTGATGGGCGGAGCGATGGAACTTGGCGTGGGTGTGTATTTAAGATCGCCCATGCGGGGCAGCCACACAGCGTCATCCATGCGGCGTGGGACAGCATGGAGCTCGCATGGACCCACGAGGCAGTCTGGGAGTTGGATGATGCAATTTGCTTTGAAGTACGGTTATGCTTTCTCTCTATCTTTATCTCTCTCCCTCCTCTCTCTCCTGTCTTCTCCTTTCCCTTTTTCTCCTCTCCTTCTCACTCTCTCGTATCTCCTTTCTTATTCCCTCCTTCTCTCCTCTTTTCCTCTCTCTCTTTCCCTTTCTCCTCCCTCCCTCTCCCTTCTATCTCCTTCTCCCTCTCTCCTCTCTCTTTACTCCTCTCTTCTCTATTACTTCTCCTCCCTCCTCTTCCTCTCTCTCTTCCTTCTCCCTCCTCCTTTTCTCCCTCCTTTTTCTCTCCTCCTTTCTATTCCCCTCTCTTCTCTATACCTTCTACTCCCTCCCATCTCTATCTCCCCCTCCCTCCTCTCTCTCCCTTCCATTTCACCTCCCCTCGCGTTCCTCCAACCCTCGGCTCACCGTCTTGGGATCCTGGAAGCAAGGGCTGCAGAGACCCGCGAACACGCGAGTGGACGGACCGATCTGGCGCAGGCGAGCATGGCGGGACGGCAGAGGCGACACGGGGAGGTAGATGCCACGCGGTCGCCACGCCCCACGCCGCTCTCCCGCAGGACGTTCGCCAGGCGGCATACTAGCTCCTGCAGTTCCCTTTGGACAGAAGAGGGACGTGGGTCTTAGGAGCCTTGGGAATAAGGTCGTTGTTTGGTCTTTAAGTCTTTAAGTTTTTTTTTTTTATATATATTCCTAAGTCTTATCACATACCTGTTAGTTGTCTCCTGCTTTATTGCTCTCTCTTCATCATGCGAAAAAGAGAGAGAGAGAGAGAAGAGAAGAGAGAGAAGAGAGAGGAGAGAGAGAGAGAGAGAGAGAGAGAGAGAGAGAGAGAGAGAGAGAGAGAGAGAGAGAGAGAGAGAGAAGGAGAGAGAGAGAGAGAGAGAGAGAGAGAGAGAGAGAGAGAGAGAGAGAGAGAGAGAGAGAGAGAGAGAGAGAGAGAGAGAGAGAGAGAGAGAGAGGAGAGAGAGGAGAGAAAGGAAGAAAAGAAAAGGATGAAAAAAAAACATCTAAAGGATTAGTCTACCATCATTAAGTGTATATAAGTAATCTTTAATGCAAGCGGGTCCATCCGAAAAAAAGAAAAGAAAAGACAAAAAAGAAGAATTGAAGAAGATAGATAGAAAAAGGGAAAAAGAAAAAGAAAAAGAAAAGAATAAAAGAAAATAAAAAAGAAAAGGAAAAAAAATAAGAAATAAAATAAAAAAAGGGGAAAAAATAAAGTAAAGTATTAAAAAAGGGGGGGGAAGAAAAAAATATATACACACAGGATTCTCTTGCCCTCCTGAAGGAACTCACCTGTAGGTCACCTTCTGCGTCTGGCCCGGTTCGTCTTGCTCCCACAGGAGGGCCACGCGATCAGGGTGGAGACGGGCGTGTCTGTCCACGCAGTTCACTATAAAGGCCAGATTTAACAGTAATTAGGGTTAATGAGTCACTGTAGAGAGGTCTGGATGTTAAGTTTTTTGTTTAATTGCTTGGTTTTTATTTATTTATCTATCTATTTTATTTTATTTCATTTTTTTATTTATTTATTTTCTCATTTTATTTTTATTTATTCTAATTTTATCTATTTATTTTTTTTTTTGGTTTTTGAAAGTTGATTTCGGTGATTTTTTTTTTTTTCTAAAGTGTGTATTTAAGTATTAAGTAGGTCGTTTAAGTCTGTTTATAAGTGTTGGAGTATCTTGGAAGTTCAAGGACGTGTAGAAATTAGGAACATTCCTTGCCATTCATTCAGAGACAAAAATTCACATTCTCAACACATCCAGCTTACAACAGAACTCCTCCCCCCCCTCCTCCCACTCACACAGAACTAACACACACACACACCTCCCCACCCCGCCCCACACCTATGGTCGAGGAATAAGGGTCAATGTCGAAGAGCTGACTGAAAAACGCCTTTGGAGGTTTGCTCTGAGATTAGCAATAAATTTATGTATGAAATTTAGGCTTTCCTGTATAATTTAAATTATTTTGGCGGAATCTAATCATTTTAAGATTATTCATTTATAGCATAGTGAAAATAACGAATATTCTTCGTAACGAAAAAATATTTCTTTTCTTATGTAATACTTTCAATACAAATATTGCCAAAATGCGTATTTTGCTGATTAATCAATAAATAGGAATTTACTGCTGTTGGTGTTTAAAACAATCCTCCCAAATTGATTTTTATTTCTTATTCAATCATTTTATGGGAAATATACATGTATAAATAAGCCCATGACAGTAATTCTCCTATTACATCATTTTTTTTTTTCTGCACCTGCAAAATATATTACTTTTAAACTGAAAACGGCTTATTGCCTTTTAAGGAAAATGCAGATTAGTTAGAGCGGTCAACCGTTACTTTCCGTTACTGTGTATTCAAAATGCAGCCATTTGTGGCAATCAGTCATACATTAGGATATATAACTTTAAGTTAATTGGATTTCGGAGCAATACACAGATGGCATAAGTTTTTATAACACTTGTAGGGGAAACTAATCCAGTTTAGTGGTAGGCCTATCTCAAAATCGGCATAACCCCACCCCAAGCCATTCCCACCCCCCCATCCCATTCCCACCAACCCCATCCCCACAATACCCCCCATTCCCACAAATACCCACCCACCCATTCACTCCAACACAACCCCGATGTGTGTGGCCCAAAGGGACTTAAGTGGGGTGAAGATACCTAAGTTACGTCACCCCTTTGAAATGTATTTTGTGTGTCAATAAACGTGTCAAAGTAAAGTATAAAAAAAGAGAAAGAGAGAGAGAGAGAGAGAAGAGAAAGAGAGAGGAGAGAGAGAGAGAGAGAGAGAGAGAGAGAGAGAGAGAGAGAGAGGAGAGGAGAGAGAGAGAGAGAGAGAGAGGTAAGAGAGAGAGAGAGAGAGAGAGAGAGAGAGAGAAAAGGAGAGAGAGAGAGAGAGAGAGAGAGAGAGAGAGAAGAGAGAGAGAGAGAGAGAGAGAGAGAGAGAGAGAGAGAGAGAGAGAGAGAGAGAGAGAGAGAGAGAGGAGTGGAGAGAGGAGAGAGAGAAAACAGGCGACTGACCCTGCTTGACCTATCCTTACCCGACACATTGAGCTGACCATCTGGGAACCACCTGAACACGTGCTTGTCGAAGTCGTGGTCAGTCACGACGCTGAAGCTTCTGCCACTCCAGGCGGGACCGGGCAAGGCGCCCCCAGAACTCGTCGGGCTGGAAAAAATAAGAAGAAATTAGAAACAGCTTCTTTTATCTGAATTAGCCTTATTCTATTACCATTATTTATTATCATTATCATTGTGTTATCATTTATTAATTATCATTTATCATCATTATATCATTATTACTGTATTATTATTGTTTATTGTGTTGTTTTGTTATTACTATCATTATTATTGTTATTACTGTTTTTTTTTGGGGGGAGGGGTATTTTTCTGCTGAATTTCATGGCTGTTTGTAATGACACTATCAATACTCTTGTTAAATCTTTATGGTCATCATCATTTCTGTTCTAACTCATTATTCATAGTATCATCGCCGACATTATTGTTATCGGTGCTATCATCTTCTTAATTATATGATCATCATATCATTATCATCATTTACCATTCTCATTACCATCACATCACACCATCATCATTATCGTCATGACCAAGAGCACCTCTCATTATCATCACTATAATCACCATCAATCACGGCCCTCATCATTATCATTACCATCCTCATTAACATCAACACCACATCATATCGTCATTGCCACAAACACCCTCCATCATCACCAGTATCATCACCATCATTATCACGATCACCACCACTATCAACACCATCACCATTACCAACTCAATTCATCATCACCACCACAACCACCCCATCATCACTATCAAACACCACCACTATCATCACCACCATCATCATTAACACTACCACCACAACCATCATCTTCACTATCATCAACACCACCACTATCACCATCACCATTACATCCTTAATATCATCACCATCACCACCACACCACCTCATTCATCACTATCACCACACCACCATCATTATCATTAACATTCTCATTAAAATCAACACCACCATCATTATCGTCATTACCACAACCACCCATCATCATCACTATCATCATCACCACCACATACCATTACCAACTCATCAACACTACCATCACCCACATCATCATTATCGTCATTACCACGACCACCTCCATCATCTTCACTATCATCACCATCATCATTATCACGACCACCACCACTATCTTTTATCTATATCGCCAACACCCTCCCTGTGATATTCCTTATCGCCATACCAGCACTATCACCCTATTGTGAGCGCATGAAAGTAAAAGTTCTTATCATAAATATTTTCATCGGGATATAGTGTATCAACCCCCCCCCCAACCTCGACACGAATGAATACAATTTAACACAAATGTTTGAAACAGATAAGGAATCCCGTTTTCTTTAATACCAAAATCGCGTTTTCTGTTGCTTAAGCCGAACGTAGCAGATACTTAGTTATTGTTTGCCGTCTGACTCCTGAGGAGGGGAGGGGGAGGAGAGAGAGAGAAGAGAAGAGAGAGAGAGAGAGAGAAGAGAGAGAGAGAGAGAGAGAGAGAGAGAGAGAGAGAGAGAGAGAAGCGGAGGGAGAGGAGAATGAGAGAGAGAGAGAGAGAGAGAGAGAGAAGAGAGAGAGAGAGAGAAGGGAGAGAGAGGGAGGAGAGAGAGTCTTTTGGGGAAGAGAGGGAGGGATGGGGAGAGGGAGAGAGGAGAGAGAGAGAGAGCAGAGAGAGAGAGAGAGAGAGAGAGAGAGAGAGAAGCAGAGAGAGAGAGAGAGAGAGAGAGAGACGATGGGCTGTCTCTCAAAATTTCCTTTATTCACTGATAATTTGTATCCTTGCAATATGTGGTGTGTTTGTTTGTTGTGTTGTGTGTGTGTGTGTTGTGTGTGTGTGTGTGTGTGTGTGTGTGTGTGTGTGTGTGTGTGTGTGTGTGTGTGTGTGTGTGTGTGCGTGCGTGTGCGTGCGTGCGTGCGTGCGTGCGCGTGCGTGCGTGCGTGCGCGTGTGTGTGTGTGTATATATATGCACACACACACACATGTACATACACGGTACTTTGACATACAACCAATATACGGTATGCTGGCACGTAGATATAGAGATGGGCCCTTTTAAGGAAACAAACAACTAACTAAATGCATAAACTGAAAGAAAAAAAAGCGAGTTAGATGGCTAGTTAAGAGGTAAGTCGGAAGAAATCTAAGCAGATACATAGATAGATAGATATAAACCCAAACAGACATGGAGATGGATAACACATGCACACACTTTCACTCTTACTCTCACTAACCCTCTCTCTGATATAGATGCGCAGATACTTGATAGATAGACAGATAGATAAAGGGAAAACATGAACGCAGCAAGGCACCAACAAGTCTACTTTCTCGTGAACAACAAAGAGAAAGTCGAGAGGAGGGCGGGCAGCATCTCCCCAAGCGGCACATGTGCACTGTTACCTCTGTCCCGGGCATTCACCTTGTTCGTTTTCTCGTTAAGTTTCCGTTTTCGTTAAAATCGCGTTTTCTTTATCGTTAAAGTTTCCGTTCGTTTTCCCGTTATCGTTAAAATTTCCCGTTTTCTTTATCGTTAAAGTTTCCCGTTTTCTTATCGTTAAAGTTTCCCGTTTTCTTTGTCGTTAAAGTTTCCCGTTTTCTTTCCGTTCTCTATAATGTAGGAAATAAGGGTAAAGATAACGTAGGAATTATGGGTAGATATTATCTCATCATTTTCTTTTCCTCGGTGTGTGAATATGGTTGTTTATTTGCTTCAGAAGGGAGCCTTTGTGTAATGTTTTTCTTTCGAAAGATAGAATATATATTTCCCTGAAATGGGGACCAACATCGTGTTCCTCTTGATTGTTTTACCGGCACATAATCCTTCTAAATCTTCCTTAACAGATATGAAAGATTAAATAAAATCTAATAATGCCCACTCTAACGAACAGAGCAAACTTGAAAAATATTGAATATCTTACTGGGTATTTAAAAAACATTGAATATATACTGGTTCATCTGGGGGCACTTGAAAAATATTGAATATCTTACTGGGTACTTACCTATCATTTGAACAATAACAAACTCATTCTCCCTCTTTCCATTTCTACCTATCTTCCTGTCTGTCTATCTATATATTTATCGATCTATGTGTCTATCTACACTCTTATATATACACACATCTCTCTCTCTCTCACACTCACACCATACTCTAGCACTTCATACTCTATTTTTCACTCTCATCTCACTCTCTCTCTCTCTCTCTCTCTCTCTCTCTCTCTCTTATATATATATATATATATATTATATATATATTATATATACATATATATATATATACATATATATACATATATATATATATATATATATATATATATATATATATATATATATTATATTACACTCACACTCATACTCTCATTTTTCACTCTCACTCTCTCTCTCTCTCTCTCTCTCTCTCTCTCTCTCTCTCTCTCTCTCTCTCTCTCTCTCTCTCTCTCTCTCTCTCTCTCTCTCTCTCCAATATCCACACACACTCCCTCTTCTAATGCGACCTGTTTGAAGCCTAGATGCTCGGTCGTGGCAAGCCAGTTCAATTACTTTCTCACAAGTCTTTAAAAAGTAAAACAGGAATTGTTCAAATACATCACTTATTCTCACAATAGGCGCTGTTTTCCCTTACGAATCATTCACAGAACCCAGTAGGAAAATAATACAACAGTAATTACAACTAGGCGTATGTACGTCATTCGTAGATAAAATAAATCGTCAATTTTATCGGTTGCAACAAAAACGTTTTCTACGTTAATCATCCCAATTTGTACGAATTATAACTAAGCTGACAGTAGCATTACGTCAGTGCAACGCCGTCCTGCTCGGGAAATCCAAGGAGTGCCAGACTATAAACAATTTTTTTCCTGAAGTGACGTCATGAAAGGAGTGCCACAGTGCCACTTACAGAAGAAATGATCTAAACGTTCAAGACAATTGCAATCTTTTTATTTCCAATTTACATCAGTTATTAATTAGATCAGGTTACAAAGAGTCACGCGTGTATATTACATAAAATATCAAGGACCAGCTGGGGTTCGTGTGAACGTCCTTATCTTTACGATGCGGTTAATCCCAGGGATTTAGAGTGGAATCCCTAGTGGAAAGTCGAGGGGTAGTTGCCAGAGATAACTGCCATACGTGATTGAAAATCCCTTAACCGATGCCTTGTCGTAACTCTTAAGACACCATCGATAAACCTACCTAGAAAACCATCACTGACCAAAGGCCATCTTGGAAAACAAGGCTACGTTTCTTGCAATATCACGACTCTTAATTATATAAGCAACACGCCTTTTCTTAGCTACTATGGTATAGTTCAAAGGCGTTGTTTGTCGCTGACTCTGCGGTGGCGACAAGCGACATGTGGCAACGAGAAACACCCTTGACCGATGTGCAAACGAACACAACTGTTGTAATCCTACCGTTTTGAATAGGATTTGGCAACAGATCTGCGAGGCAAGAAAACTAAAAGGTTTGCCTAAGCGAGCACGTACGCACGCACATACCCACGCATTCCCCTCTCACACATCCACACGCAATGACCGACTGACTGACTGACTGACTGACTGACTGACTGACTGACTGACTGACTGACTGACCTGACTGACTGACCTGACCACCATCACCCACCACCTACTCACTCATCCCCGCAGCTCACTCACTCACCCACTCAACTCACTCAAGACGTTCCTCGGTGAAAGCACAGCGCAAGTGGCCGAACACTTGCCGCGAACTTAAGAACAAGAAGAAACCAGATTTTATTTATGTCGTGGCACCAACAACGTCGAAATTGTCCCATTACTCAGTTGAGCAACAGCGACTCTGAAAACATATATAGCAATTGGGTGTCTTTCTTTTTTTTTCCTCAGTGATATAGTGTAAAGGTATGACATCTTAAAACTGCCAAATATTAATTAAGATGGTGATAGAAGCAATTATAATTATAACGATACTCATTCTACCTACCGTATAGATAATGATGATGGTGTCAATATACAGTAATATTAATAAGAGCAACATCATCAAAATCAACAGCAACAACAATAATAATAATGATAATAGCATAAATGATCATAATAATAGTAATAACAATAATACCAACAACAAGAACAAGAACATTAACAAAAATGATGACGATGATGGTGATGATGATGATGATGATGATGATGGTGATAATGAAGGTGATAATGATGATGATAATAATGATGGTGATGAAGATGACGATGATGCTAGCGGAGAGAGAGGAATAAAGTGCAGTCGTTTCGTAAGAGCAAATACCACAGGTCATTGACAAAAAAAAAAAAAAAAAAAAAAAAAAAAACATTGAATACAAACATGGGTTTAAATACTTCAATGCGTGGCTGTCACACACACAGAGATCTAATACCGTCATAAAAGAAGAATCCATTCAGAGTTTGCATAACTAAATTTGCATAACTAAACAAGTCAACCAAGACCCATCAGCTCCATAGATATCGCACGTCGGTCACAAGATGCACTATATAATGTTCTTATACATTTACATACTGTCTGTCTACGTGCACTTATTGTCAGCGCACAATGACCTAATGGCATATACATATATATTGTCCCAAAGACCGGATAACTTGAGGCAGAGAATGGTCCTGTAACCCCGATAAGCCGACTGAGAGACCGATGGCGTCAGCTGCTCCCCCCCCTCCCCCCCCCCCCCTCACCATACCTGTTCTACGGAGAACCTGTAGAGATCCTCGTGTGTCTGTAGTCCAGGGAAGGCATCGGTTATCTCCGGCAGGGGCGTGGAGGTCGCGAGAGGCAGAGCCACGGGGCTTTGGACGGAAGAGCAGAGGAGTCTACTGAGGGCGGTCTTGGGGAGAGACCGGGGGCGCTTCCAAGTCTCCCGCACGGCCCTGGAGAAGGTCAGCACTGGTCCCGCGAGCCGCATCTTACACACTGATCGTCAACATCTGCGCTGGCTTGTAACTGCGTCACGCCCCTCGGTCCTTTCCTTGCATGTTACCACGCAACGACAGTTCTTGTTGTTGTTGTTGCTTACGCTGACAGAATGGCCTCCGCTCTCTCCCCTTGTAGATAGGAGGCAAAGCGAAACTAAATCATATTTTTAGAACTAAAAAATCCACGCATTTGTTAATCGCACTACCATACGGCAACCTCTCAGATGTACCAGGTATCGGCGGTTACAGCAAACTGGTGTTTATGATGGAACCTCATACGGACCACTATCGCCTACACTTCGCTGTTTACGGATGACGTCAGACTGATAAACCAATCAGGAGGCGGGACTGCGAATCCTCCCTCCGAATCTGGAAGAAAAGAACAAACAAACGTTCATCAGCTGTTTACTTTATAGGTAAAAGGATGAACTCTGTCTAATCCCAAGGTCTGTTAACTGAGAATATTATAACATTTTGGTTTGGTTCCCGATGGTCAAGTTAAAACAGTTATATGTGTATTTGTTGTTAGAAAAACCCACAATGTATAATCTAGATTTATTGAGGAAAGTGAGAGTTTGTGCATTGTGGGTTTTTCTACAACAGTATCAACACGGTAGAGTGTTTTTCTATTCATATGTGTATGTGTATGTATTATATATTATATATATATATATATATATATATATATTTATATTATTGTGTTGTGTGTGTGTGTGTGTGTGTGTGATATATATATATATATATATTATATATATATATATATATCACACACACACACACACACACACACACACACACACACACACACACACACATATATATATATATATATATATATATATATATATATATATATATATATATATATGAAAATAGCGCGCGGGTCCGCACGGGTGAGAGTGTGTGCCTATATGTCGAGATGGTCTGAGGAAGTTATGAAGCATATCGTATAATTCCCTGAATCATATCAGAATGCCAGTAAAAAAAAAAAAAAAAAAAAAAAAAAAAAAAAAACGTCACCATATACACAGATGCACGCCATGTATACAAACAGATGTGCTAATGCCACGAGATAACTTTTTTTTTTAATATGTTAATTCTGATAGGTATACCCACATCCTTATAAACGCTACCAATCCCAATATATGATATGCAGCTGAATTGTATAAGAAATACAGCTCCTTGCAAATGTCGTGATATGTTTGCGAATTATGAATGGAAAGTGGAACAGCCAGAGGATAAACAAACCGGGAAGGGAAGGATGTGCGATACGCTACCAGCCGTACGATAATTTCTTTCTAAATTATATTTACTCATTGCCTTAAGTGGATTCAAAAACGGGTGTTTATGTATACCTGCATCATATATCGAAAGTAACCTTGCCAGGGAATATAGTGGGAATAATTACCTTTGTTTATCGTGTATCTACCTGGTGTTCTTTTCCCGTTGGTAACAAGTTATCAAGTGCACATTTAAGAGGATGATTTCTGTGATAAAAAAGAAAAAAAGTTTTCCTCTCATATATCAAGAAAGGCTAAGATAAAAAAATGTTGAGTGCAGAATGGATATGAGTGAATATTTATGACAAATTGTATACGAAGGACATTTATTATAACGAGTATCATTCAGTAATCTGGGAGTGAGGTCAATTGTAAGCCCATTTGTGAATACTGAATTTGAGAAAGTGCAAAGAAGACTAGATCCAGAAATCAAGGTCTGGGCTTACAGGGAATACATGCAAATAAATAGTTCCTAGGTACTGATTGGTTCAGTAAAATGTTGTATGATGTGCTGTTTCACACAATTTTGGTATCTTAATCTGATAAATGTAACATCAAACATCTTTATTTGTAAAGTAAAAGTGGTATCCAATTGAAGTTTATTTCATCTTCAAAACACTGTTTGTCCTCACATACAGGACAGTTTTTTCAGTATACTATACAATACATGCGATGGCAGGGGCCCTGTCCTATGTGGCCTGACTGTGCATAAATCGTTGGCCTGAAAAAGCTAAACATTGTGACAACAAGGCTGATATGAATAACTTTTTACATCCTCCACAGACAGGTTAATCAGTTATTAAGGTTAAAGATCCCATAGCCAGTTTTGTGTACCTTAAGCTCAGCGACCTTAATGTAATTGCTTGTCGAGAGCTAGCACTTTTCCCGTCAATTTTTGACAATTTTATTTAACATAAATACAAACATTCTCGAAAATAGCTCTTGATTTGACTATGCTTGGCTGGAAAATTTGACGGAAAGGTTTTCAGACGGAAACGATCATTATCGTCTGATTGGAAAATCGACAATTCGCTCAAAAATGGACAAAATTTCAGAAAATAGTAAAAAAAATAGGACGGAAAAAAGTGCTAGTGTGACAGCACCTTAAATAAAGGTACCCGCTGAGATCCACGGTTTCTCGTCTTATTTATACACTTTTTTAACGTTTAGTTTCATATTCGTCCGTGGGATGAAATCAGTTATCTAAGGGCTGAGCGGCACCCGTATTGGCCCTTCGGTGAGATCCTTCTCTCCTAAAGGCACCAACTTGTACAGTTACCGAAAACGGACAAGTTTTCCGTGAGTTACTAGGGATTCCCGGGCATGCAGGAGGTGCCTTGGGAATACCCATCGCGAGGCACCCCGTGGCATTTGCTCCTTTGAAACAACTGTAATGTTGCTCCTGTCCCTCTGCCATTATTATTGGCGCTGTATTATTATTACTATCATCATTATTATAATTACGATAATAATAATAATAATAATAGTAATAATGATGACAATTATTATAACTTAATTTTTCATCATTATTGTTGAGATTATTATTGTTGTTATTATTGTTATCATTATTGCTATCATGATTACTATTTTTTCGTATTATATTTTTTTATTCTTGTTGACAATGTTTTTACTATAATTATTATGATAATAATGATGATACTAATAATTACCATTGTTTTTATTATGATTAGTGGCATTATTGCTTTTGTTATCAATATTCTCATTATAAGAATAGATAGATAGATAGATATACAGATAGATAAGTAGATATATCAATGTATCTCTTCTCTCTCTCTCTCTCTCTCTCTCTTCTCCTCTCTCTCTATATCTTCTCTCTATATATATATATATATATATATATATATATACATATATATATTGCATATATACATACATATATATATATATATACATATATATAATATATATATATATATATATATAGATTATATATATATTATAGAGGAGAGAGAGAGAGGAGAGAGAGAGAGAGAGAGAGAGAGAGAGAGAAGATATATTGATATCTATCTATCTATCTATATCTATATATCTATCTATATATATTGTATTATATATATAATATATATATATATATATATAATATAATGTATATATATATAATATATATTATATATACATATATATATATCATACATATATACATATACATACATACATATATAATATATATATACATATACATTATATACACACACACACACATCACGCACAACACGCACCACGCACGCACGCACGCACGCACGCACGCACGCGCACGCAGCACGCACGCACGCACGCAGCACACACACAACACACACAACACACACACACACACACCACACACACACACACACACACACACACACACACACACCACATATATATATTATATATATATATATATATATATAATATATATATATATATGTATATATGTATGTATGTATGTACGTATGTATGTATGTATGTATATATTATATAATTATTGGAAAGGAATTGTGAAGGATTCCTTGTCTCATATCATATGTATAGAATTAAGATCATAAAGGATTTATTTGATTCATTTGATCAACAAAAGAATGATTATTTAATTTCATTTAGTTTGTAACCTGGTGGCCAAGTGACGCAAGAGTTATACGAACGCCTACAAAAACGCTTTGTTTTGAATCCGCGGAGGCCTTGACAGAGAGCCATGTGATGCGGTCTGAAAAGCTTTCGACTCTTCTTGTTTTGTGAAGATTTAGACTGGCCACACTGTAAGTCAACTATTTATAATGTTAATTATGTATTATCCAGATGTTTGAGCATATGTTAATAACAAAATTGTGTCTTTTATGTGATATATAACTTGAAATTATGTGATATAAGATGTGCCATTCATATTGTATTCTTATATTTTAACGAAGCTTTATTTCAGTTATTTATCTGAATAATGTTTTGTTTCCAAAAGGGGGGGAGGGGGAGGGGTAAAATCGTGTTCACGCAGCTCCATTTGGGGGGGGGGGGGGGAGGGGGAGGGGGGAGTGCACGATGTCAATAGCAACCTGTAAATATTGAAATGAAAAGTAATACCATTTAAACATCAATAAGAAGTGTAATTATATGAAAGACGAGCCAAAATTTATGTCTGACAATATCAGAAAGTGTTAATCAGAAAGACGAGCCAAACTTTGTCCAATATATAAATGAAATACTGTAAAGTAACAAGGCAACACAATGTGTACAAACTCAATATCTGATACACAATTTCTGATGAAATATAAAATGTGGTTATGCGAAACCAAATAAAGAAAACATAACATATCAAATTAGTCCCCCCCCCCCCCGCTTAATTGCGCGATCTCAATTGATTAAAAAAATGTTTAAACAATATACAACACATACCGTCAGTGTGGAGGGTATAGACAAGCTGCGCACAAAGGTGCGTAGACTTTCAAAGATGGTGGTTATGTCCGTAGAGTTTCATTAGCCAATTTTTAGCTATTTTTGTGCTAGATTTTTGCGTTTTTGTTCGCTATTCTTCCTATTTAAGCCTCTTTTAACCCATTTTATTTTCTTGATTTATTTCAGATTAATGCTAAAATCAGATGCAGTCCCCACATTGCAGTTACCTACCCCAGGCCCAGGACGAGGTGGCAAAGAAGTGCAGCTCACTCCTTGAGGGGCGACAACTAAGAGAGAAAGAAAGAGATTGCTGGACAAGGCGGCCTGTGCCTGCTGCTGAGACCTGTGCAATGGCTACATTATCTAGTACAGTTGCTGAAGGAGTGGAATGTACCAATGTGTGAATGTGCAATTTACAAACATCCTGGGCTGGTGCTGGTGAAAAGCAGCAGGTATCCTTACAAAAGTAGGTGAAGTTGAATTTGGGCAATTCTTTGTGAGAAGTAATTCCGTTACCTTTTTTTTTTTTTTACAGGGGTTGCAACTGCATATTCAATTTTTAAGTCAGATTTTTTTTTCCATTTTTTTTAGAATCCAAATTCTTTTATTCTGTAAATGAAAGACATTTGTGAGAATTGCTGATTTCTGTCCAAGCTGGTTGTGTGACAGAGTTATATTTCACTTATCAGATTGTGAATGTTGTTTTTTAATTCTTGCATGATTTTCCTTATTCTGTTCATTCTTTTGTACAGAGGTGCAAACACTGAAGGAGAATAATGCCTGTCAGAAATGTGAGAAGAAAGGAAGAACTACAGCAACACACTGCAATCTCATTCAGTTTGATCATGGGCCCTCAAAACGTAAATGGGCGTCTGTTGCCCCTGCATCTATGACAGTGCAGCAGTGAGGATGATACTGAGATGGAGGAAGACGGAGATGGTGCCTGTGGTAACGACATGGGTTATGTTCCAGAAGAAGAATCGGGTGAAGAATCAGGTGGAGAAGATGAAGTCCAATTTGAAAATGAGATTTGAGTAAATACGGTGAGTTGAATCATTGCACATTCAGGTCTGAAGTTGTGGTGTGAAAACCATGGCATGTAGAAAGTATTTTTATTCAGGTTTTTCTTGTTCTTATGGAATAGTAATCCATGTTGCTAATAATGGAAAAACTAGACAATACAACTGAAATATGAATTGTCTGTATATTTTTACATTTTTTTTCAGGTGTGACCAAAATGAAGACCTGCATCAGCAAAAGAAGTATATAGTCTTTGAATCTTCATTGTTGATACTGCTGGCAAATTGTGACTTGTGCAAAGGGAAGACAAGCTGTTTTCGTTACTTGAAAGGAACTCTTATAAAGGTCCATGCAGTTTGTACAAGTTGTGGCCATAAGAAATACTGGTGCAATCAGCCCTTTGTTAGAAATATGAGTCATGAACTTGCTTCTCAGTGCAGCCATTCTATTTACTGGCAGTTTGCCAAGCAAGACCTTCAGAATATTCAGGTAAGTGAATCCATATTGATGGCAAAAAACAATGATTTGTAAAGTTACATGATTAAGCATGTCATTTATTTAAGACAATACTAAGCAGAGGTAATGAACATAAAATTAATCTGATTATTGAATATTGAAGGTCTTACGTATCGATAGTTTTGTAGCTACCTTCGTTGTTAGAACTAACAGTTTAATTTCTCCTTTCAGTTTTTTTAATATTCAGTGCCTCAAGATTGGACCTTTTTCATCATCAACTTACACATCCATGATGCAGTAAGCATAACATGGAAAAAGAAACGTAGTGTACTGCTCTCTTCGCTTGTGGAAAAAGATATGGTACTCTGAGGTGATGCAAGATGTGATAGCATGGGTCATTGTGCCAAGTATGTTAGCTACACTTTAATAGAACTGGATATAAATAAGGTGTTGACAGTTCAGTTAGTACAGGTAGGTAATTCCCCAAAGCTGAGCCAATATTCATTTTAAAAATAAGTAATTTCCATCAGTGGTTGAATCATCTTCACCAGCTGTCGCAAACTAACTGACCAACATTAGGTTTCCTTAGATTTCTTGATTTCATCCAGTAGCTGATGACTAAATATAATTCTTTGCAGAACAATGAATCTGGAGGGAGTTATGGAATGGAACTCGAAGGTCTGAAGAGGTGCCGTAGAGACATTGGAGAGTATAGAGTGAAAGCTGTAGTCACTGACTGATGACATCACCAGGTTACCAAGTGAATTAGAGAAAAATGGGGTGTAACAGATTACTTTGATTCCTGGCATATTATTAAAGGTGAGTGAAAGATAGGAATAATTTAATTGATAATAGGTTGCCTATAATATATAGGTTTGCCTTCTAATATGGTTCTAAAAGAACAATTGCATTTTGGACACACATGGCAATTAACTGGATAATTTACATTTTCAGGTCTATGCAAAAAGCTTGAGGCACTTGGAAAAAAGACAATGAATGTCAAGTCGTGGATACAGAGCATCAAGTGCCACTTATAATGGTGTGCTCTGTCATCCCAAAACAGAGATGAAATTAAACAGAAATGGCTTGCTTGTGTCAACCACATACAAAATGTACACGATAAATGCACTCATCCACCAATAACTTGTAACAAAGAGTGGATACTGCCAGGTTAGTGTTAATAAAGGAATTGTCACTTCATTTGGCTATTCTTTCCTCCCATTTTAATTCATGGTTCAAATTTTTGCACTAATGCTTCAAAGATACCTCATAATACTAAATACTGTCATTTCCATCACAGGGACAGGCTAATGTTGAGGTTGTCGACCTGCTGACAAAAACTATGCTCATCAATGAAATTGGCAAAATGTCCAACCTAGGACCAACAAGTGGAGTTGAGGCCTACCACAGTGTGGTCAATCATTTTGCCCCAAAAATGTACAAATTCTCTTATAAAGGAATGATCAGCAGGCAAGTTGGAGTGCTCTCATTTGTTTCATTGTCCCTCCTAATCATAGTGATTTCAAACTTTGGGGATGGAGTCATTTCAACAGTATTACACTCTACTGAGTTAATAAATATCAACCAAAGGGACAAATCACTGTCGTGATATATGGGATATATATTTTTTGTAAAAATTTAATTTACTCTTTCGTCATTTAATATGGCTTGTTTAATTTCAGAATTCTACTGGCAGCAATGCATTACAATGAAAATGCAGGTAGAGCGCTGAAAGTGACTAGGCAAAGGAAAAAGTGCTACAGTATTGTCTACCCAAAGTACAAGAATGGGGGATATTCGCTGAGGAAGGTTCTAGTGAACTCTACTTATGGTATGTATTGAACTAGTGCTTGTACAGTCTAACAATGTTGCAGCATGCTGGATTGAAACATTATTTACTACTACCTTGTTCCAAAGACATTTTTAATCTCATTGATTATTGATACCATCTTCAGCATTTTCACTTGGATTGGAAGAAGAGTCATAGGATGGGACCAATAAAACACAAGCATTTCTTCCTGGTTTTTCATTGTGTAAATTTTACCCAATTTACTTCCAGAATATGCAAATGAATGTTTCTTGGAAGTGATGAACCAAGCCAAGATACAAAAGCATGCAAGGACCTTCAAGGAAACTACAGTGCCACCACATCTTTCTTCTGCCACTGCCAACAAACCAGAAAAGAAACAAGCTATTGCAGAAAATCGTTCACATTTTATGAAAAGGAGGTGTAACTAGAACTTTTGAGTGGGAGTCAATTCTACATGTAGTTGGAAAGGAGCCTGAGGGTGTACACACGTTTCCATTCAGCCTGGGTGTTGAATAGAACCCAGTGTCACTTGTCTCTTGTTTGTGATTGATCGAGTTATACAGTCATACTGTTTAAAACTGAATGCACACAATGGTGTACTATGCAAGTGTGAAATGATCAACCAATCAAGAGGGTATCCTGCTTATTCTTGGAGACAATATGTACAATGTTATATTGCAGATAATTACATTTTGCTTGACTGCATTAAAACCTGTTTCTTATTTTGTCATTTTGTAGTAGCAATTGTCAGCACTCCCAGTAGTTTTTGCTCAGGGCATATCTGGATTATAAAATATTGGAGCCCACTTGGCCTGTCAACATTTGCGGCATAGTGCACCGATGTCTCTGTTTCATTGGTGACCTGAGTTCAGACACTACACCCCCAGACAAGAGGGCAAAGCAAAAGGTGATGATCCCAGTGTCCAGGCAGCGATGGGGATGTGCAACGATCGATGATGTCTCAATTTCTTGGCGATGTGGGTTCTAGCATATGTCTACTTACACAAGCAAAATTCACCAAATTCCTGTTGACAAACAAGAACAAACTTTGAGTTGGTTGGAGTTTAGTGTACCCATCTAATGTCTGATCCAGTATGGATTGATGTACATGGCGATGTATAGTTGTATTACTACACAGAGGTAGGATAGGTACACCCCAAAAAGAACAACACAAATAAATACCAATGCCCCTTCACTTGCGAATGGATGTTGGCCTCCAACTCGAGTGTAGACAAGAGATAGCTCAGCCTACGGAAATTTTGTAGCATATAGAAGCGGGATCACATGTTCAACCATAAAAAATTATTTAGAAAATCACCATTCTTTCAATCTCTTCTGGTCTCGATGCCACTACATGTCTGGTTGGTTTGGCACAACTTTCACAACATCCATGGCGTCAGGCTTGTGCATGTACTGTCCAACAACCATCAACCCTTGATATTCCTCTTCTTCCAACTCTTTGTAGATGTAGTCACTCTCTGAAGAACTTGTACCAATGTCCTTGTATGAATAATCTGATGAAACTTTACTGATTTCACTGCTGCTGTAGTCTTGTTGTGAGTCCATCATGTTGTACAATATATTGAATGCAGAGAATTTGTGATTGTGTTCTGGAATTGACGTCACACATCCGGGTTCTGGGATTTTCACAGGAAGATATGACTTGACTTTGTAATCGAAATAAATCAATAAATTCTCAAATTTGGGGAATTATTTTCAGATTTCCTTTTTTACTGATATTAGAGAGATGGTTTGTGAGCTAATATTTCCTTATTTAAAGTTTTCAGTTGATACTTCACATAAGCCCTTTAATGTTTAAATGATACTAGTCTAGCAGTATTCTTTTTATAATTTCCTATTGATTTATTCTTAATATTTCTATCTCATATTGCATTACTATTATTTGATTTTTGTATGATTTATTTACTTTATTTGTGTACAACTTTATATTTCCAAATTTGTGAGGATTTATTTTCCTACAGCTTTTCACTGCAAGCAAGTGTTGTCATCTAGCAAGTTACACTGTTTATGCCTACCAGCTTGTGAACTTAACAATAAAGGTTTAACTGACTGCAAGTGTTTTACTTGAGGCAGTACAGTAATAAAAATGATAACAACAATAATGAAAATGATAAAATAATAACTATAATATGAGCAATGAAGATGATAATGATGATGATCATAATAGTTATAAAAAAATGATAATAGCAGTTTTAGTACAAGTGAAAATAATAAAAATCATAATGATGATGATAATGAAATTACTGATACTAGTGATATGATGATGATAATAACAACAGCAACAATAATAACAATGATTAATGAATAATAATAATAATGACAATAATGAAAAATGATAATAATGATAATGATAAAAGGAATAATAAAAAATGATATAATAATAATGATATATATAGAATAGTATATCAATAGTAATAATAATTATAATAATCAATGATAATGATAGCAATAATAATAATGATAATGATAAAATAAATAATATGAATGATATATAATAAAATAATAACAATAATATAATAGTAAATGTGGTAATGATTATAAATAATAATATTAATGACAATAAGTAGAAATAATAAAAGCAGCACCAGCAGTAATAATGATAATAATGATCATGATAATGATAATAAAAATGATAATGAAAATTGTGATAGTAAAAAAGGTGATAATTAATGCAATAGTAGTAGCGAAGATAATGTATGATATAGAATAGACAATAATGGATAATAATAAAATATATAATAGTTATGGATAGAATCATGGATGATGAACATTAATAATGTTTGAATAATAATTAACGTTGTAGACAAAGTAATGGGTTTAGAGTATGGTTGAGGTTGGTTGGTTGGCATAGGTTTAGGTTATGGTAAGGTTAGCGTATGGTTAGGTTAAGGGTTAAGGTTAGGTTTAGGTTAGTTAAGGTTTAGGGTAGGTAGGGTTAGGGTTATAGGTTAGTTAGGTTAGGTTAGGTTTTAGGGTTTAGGTTAGGTTAGGTTAGGTTAGGTTAGGGTTCGGTAGGTTAGGTTTGGGTTAGGTTAGGTTTAGGTTAGGTTGTGGTAGGTTAAGGGTGTAGGTAGGTTGTAGGTTTAGGTTAGGTAGGTTAGTTAGGTAGGTTAGGTTTTAGGTTAGGGTTTAGGGTTAGGTTGGTTAGGTTAGGTTAGGGTTAGGTTAGGTTTAGGGGTGTAGGTTAGGTGTATTAGGTAGGGTAGGTAGGGTTTATGGGTTTAGGTGTAGGTTTAGGTTAGGTTAGGTTAGTGTCTAGGTTAGGTTAGGTTAGGTGGTAGGTTAGTTAGGGTAGGTTAGGGGGTTAGGGTTGGTTAAGTTAGGTTAGTTAGGTTAGGTTGGTTAGTTAGGTAGGTTTAGGTTAGGTTAGGGTTAGGTTAGGTTAGGTTTAGGTTAGGGTTAGGTAGGTTAGGTTAGGTTTAGGGTAGGTTGAGGTAGGTTAGGTTAGGTTTAACGGTTAGGTTAGGTCTGCAGGTTGGTAGGTTTAGGTTTAGGTTTAGGTTTAGGGTTAGGGTGTAGGTTAGGTGTAGGTTGTATTAGGTTATGGTTAGTTTAGGTTGAGGTAGGGTTATGGTGGGTGTAGTTGGTTTAGGTTTAGGGTTAGGTTAGGGTTGGTGGTTAGGGTTAGGTAGGTATGGGGTTGAGGTTAGGTTTTGGTGTAGGTTGGTTGGGGTTGGGTTGTGGGTGGGTTGGGTTGGCGGTTGGGTTGGGTTGGTTGGGGTTGGGTGTTGGGTTAGGTTAAGGTAGGGTGTTGGTTAGGGGGGTAGGGTTGGGGTGGGTGGGTTGGGTTGGGATTGGGTTGGGTTGGGTTGGTTGGGTTGGGTTGGGTTGGGGTTGGGTTGGGGGTTGGGTTGGGTTGCGGTTGGGGTTAGGTTAGGTAGGTTAGGTTAGGTTAGGTTAGGTAGGTTGGTAGGTTGGGTTGGGTTGGGTTGGGTTTTGGGTTGGGTTGGGTTGGGTTGGGATTGGTTGGTGGGTTGGGTTAAGGTTTAGGTTAGGTTAGGTAGGGTTGGGTGGGTTGGGTTGGGTTGGGTTGGGTTGGGTTGGGCTTGGGTTGGGTTGGGTTGGGTTGGGCTGGGTTGGGTTTGGGTTTGGGTTAGGTTAGGTTAGTTAGGTTAGTTTAAGTTAGGTAGGTTAGGTAAGTTAGGTTAGGTTAGTTAGGTTAGGTTAGGTTTGGGTTAGGATTGGTTTACGGTTAAGTTATGGTTAGGTAGGTTAGGTTTTGGTTGGTTAGGTCGTGGTTTGGTTTGGTTTTGTTAGGTTTAGGTAGGTTAGGTTAGTTAGGTTTGGGGTTAGGTTAGGGGTTAGGTTAGGTTAGGTTAGGTTAGGTTAGGTTAGGGTTAGTTAGGGTTAGGTTCGGCTTGTAAGGAGTTTAGGTAGGGTTATGGCTTAGGTTAAGGTTAGGTTAGGTATGATTAGAATAGGTTGGGTTAGATTAGGTTGGGTTAGATTAGGTTGGTTAGGTTAGGTTCGGTTTAGGTTTAGGTTGGGTTTAGGTTTAGGTTGGGGTTAGGGTTTAGGTTGGGGTTGGTTTGGTTGGTTAGGTCCAGTTTCCGGCTAGTTGTCCTAGACGCAAGTAACATGATGTAAAGCTGTAATCTGTAAACCGAGGAGAGAGATAGAGAAAATGGCGAACAGACTTGATTGGAAAAGTTGGCAAACCTAAACTTAGAAAAAAAGGGAAATCAAATTCAATAAGAATTCTCTGGCTGGGAAACGAAGTATTTCATTACTGAAATAGAAATGAAATTTTTAGCCATATTTTGGATGTTTGTTTTGGATTTAACACTTAGTCTAGAGCGTGAAGAAGTGTGACAAGAGGTGAAAGATACATTATGTGAGACTAGATTTATATAACAGAGGAGAAGAAAGATCGAAAGAGAGAGGAGAGAAGGAGGGAGAGAGAGAGAGAGAGAGAGGAGAGAGAGAGAGAGATGAGAGAGAGAGGAGAGAGAGAGGAGAGAGAGAAGAGAGAGAGAGAGAAAGAGAGAGGAGAGAAAGAAAGATCGAAAGGAGGAGAGAGAGAGAGAACCGTGCGCAGAAAGAAAGAGAATAGAGAAATTAATCGAGAGAGGGAGATAGATAGAGAGAGAGAGAATTGGATGAGAAAAAGAGAGGAGAGAAAACAGAGACCGAGAGAGGGAAGGGAAGAGAGAGAAATTGAGAGGGAGAGAGAGGACGAGAGAGAGAGAAAGAAGAGACAGAGACGGAGAGAGGGAGAGAGAAATATATAATATTATATATATATATATATAGTTATATATATATAATATATATAGTACTAATAATATAGAATGAGAGAGAGAGAGAAGAGAGAGAGAGGAGAGAGAGGAGGAGAGAGAGAGAGGAGAGAGAGAGAGAGAGAGAAAGAGAGAAGAGATGAGTAGGTCAGACAGACAAAAAGAGAAAAAAAAGAGTCAGGACAAAACCAAGAGAAAAAAGAGAGACAAAAAGCAGAGAGAGATAGAGAAGAAATAACAAAAAAAGAGCGCAACACCCGTACATAATAACCTCCACGTCTGTCTTCTCTTACAAAAAAAAAAAAAAAAAAAAAAAAGATAAAGTTGAATAAATTAAAAAATAATCAAACTTAATATTAAAAAAAAACAGGACAGAGAAAAAAAATGAAATAATAAATAAACAATAATGGACAAAAAAAAAAGTAAATGAATAAAAATACATAAAAAAATAAATAGAAAAACAAGGCAAAAAAAATAAACATGAAATGATAAATAGAAAAACAAGGACAAAAAATAAGCATGAAATAGTAAATTAAAAAACAAAGGACAAAATGATAAATAATAAATAAAAATCATAAAAAATAAATATAAAAAATAAATTAAAAAAAATTAAAAAGATATAAAAGAAATAAATAATGGAACAAACAAGGGACAGAATGATACATAATAATATGATAATAAATAACTAAAAAAAACAAGGACGAAGGTAATAATAATTAATGAATAATGATAATAATTAATGAAAATATAAAAAACACAAGGATCAAGAACCACATTGCAACTGCTTTCAGACTCTGGCAAAAGGAACTCAAGAGGCGAGCGAAGGACTTGCGATGGGCCGTGAGGGTGGTAGGAGCTGATGGAGGAGGGGGATGGGAGGGCAGTGAGAGGAAAGGAAAGGGAGGGGAAAGGGGAAGGAGAAAGGGAAGAAGAGGGAAAGAGGAAGGGAGAGGGGGAAAGAGGAAAGGGAGAGAAGAAAGAGGAAGGAGAAGGGGAGAGGAGGTACGGAGGAGAGGGCGGGGGAGAAAGGGAAGGAGAGGGGGAAAGAGGGAAGGGAGTGAGGGAGCAAGGGAAGAGAGGGAAGAAGGGGAAGGAGAGGGGGAAAGAGGATGGAGAAAGGCGAGAGGTAGAAGGGAAAGAGGAGGAGGGAGAGGGGAGAAGGGAAAGGAGAGGGAGAAAGGAAGGGAGAGGGGGAAATGGGAAGGGGAGGAGGGGAAAAGAGGAGGAGGAGAGGGGAGAAAGGGAGGAGAGGGAGCAAGGGAAGAAGTCGGGGGAAAGAGGGAAGGGAGAATAGGGAGAGAGAAGGGAAAGAGAGGAGGAGGGAGGGAAGAGAAGAAGAGAGGGTAAGGAGACGGGAAAGAGGGGGTAAGGGAGAGAGGGGAGAGGAGGAGGAGAGGGAGAGGGGAGAAGGAGAGATAGAAGAGAGGGTAGGGAGAGAGGGGAGATCGGGCAAAGAGAGGAGGGGAGATGGAAAGAGAAGAGAAGAAGGGAAGGGAGAGGGGGGGGGGGGGAGAAAGTGAAAGAAGAAATAGTGATAGTGAATAGTGAATTTCTTCTTCTTTTCCTTTTTCTTCTTATTCCTCTCTCTTTATCTTTCTTTTTTCTTCTCCTTTTCTCTTCTTCTACTCTATTCTTTCTTTTTCTCTCGTAAGCAATTCTTCTTAGATATTAACGAGGATGTTATTGAAGGGAATTGTGAAAATAAGAATCGGAAAAAGAAAAGAAAAGAAAAGAAAAGAAAAAAGAGACAAGAAAGAAAAGAAAAGAAAAGAAAAGAAAAAAGACAAGAGAAAGAAAGAAGAAAAAGAAAAGACAGAAAAGAAAGAAAGAAAAGAAAGGAATTGAATATGTTGGAGGAAAAAAAATGGGAAAAGGGTCTGAAGTATTTTTTTTTATTTTGAAACGGACTTTTTACGATGGCAAAAAAAAAAAAAAAAAAAAAAAAAAAAATCACAGGTCATTGGATAAGGGAGATTATCAGGTCAGTGCATAGAGAAGGGTCACAAGTCATATTAGGTCAGGTCGCATAATAATAATAATAATAATAATAATAATTATCATTATTATTATTAGGTCGCAGATCAACGTACTATTTTCCGCCGGCGGGGGGGGGGTAGAAGAGGAGTAATGAGGCATTTTTTCTTCTGTTCTCGCCAGACGCGGTATACATATACGACACACACACAAGTATACACATGCAAACACACATACACGCACTTGCAAGAAACACCAACACATACATAAGCACACTTGCAAGACACCATAACACACACATAACCACACCTATATATATATATATATATATATATATTATATATATATATATATATATATAGTATATATATATATATATATATTATATGGGTAGTTAGAAAAATAGATAGCGAGATAGATAAATATATGAATATATGAATAAGTACATACGATTTATTTGAGTAGATAGATAAGTTGAATACACAAATATGGAAAATCAATTCATATTTCATAACACAACTTATTTGACATTGTATTTTCCGTTTTTCTTTGTGTCGTGGTGATCAAGTTTCTGTCCCTCCTCTAGTTTAATTTCTCTCATTCTCCTCCTTTTCTGTTATATTAATATTGGAGTTTGGTCTGCTATGTCTGTCTGTTTGTCCGTTTGTTCTGTTTTGGCTGTACCTCTTCTCTCTCTCTCTCCTTTCTCTCTTCATCTCTCTCTCTCTCTCTCTCTTCTCTACTTCTTTCTTCTCTCTCTCTCTCTCTCTCTCTCTCATCTCTCTCTCTCTCATCTCTTCTCTCTCTCTCGCATCTCTTCTCTCTCTCTCAATCTCTCTCTCTCTCTCGTCTCTCGTCTCCTCTCTGTTCTTCCTTCGGTCATTCTACATCGATGGAAGGAAATAAAATAACGCTTATTGTTCATTTTATTCTGACATCTTATGGAATACTTTAGTTCTTGCTTCTGAACATTAAATCCTCTAATTTTTTTTTATTTTCAAAAGCTTAAAAGGTCAACAACCCACCTTACTAGGAATATTCCAAGTGCAATGATAATGATGGTAATAATGAAAATAAAAAACAATAATAATGATAATAACAATAATGATAACAATAATAATTATGTAAGTAATCTAACAATAAATACCATTTTAGTGCCAACCTAACACAGAGAAAAAAGTGCAAACAGTTCTTGTCAAAAAAAAAAGAAGAAAATACTAATAGCAAATAATAATAATAATTAATAATAATTATATAATAATAATAATAATAATAATAATAATAATAATAATAATAATAATAATATAATAATAATAATAATAATATGATTGATAATGATAATAATAATAATAATAATGAATGATGATAATAATAATAATAAAAATAAAAATTAGGAAAATAGATAAATAGTAAAAACAGGTTGGTGCAGTGTGAATATTATTTTTTTCCTTATTTACTAAATCTCATCCCGATACCAAGGAATTCAGTGGTGGACAGCAGACGAAACCAGAAAACTCGTTTATTTCTAGCAGGTGGTCTTGCCAAGCCGGAAGCAGGAAGCAGATTAGCGGAAGCAGATCCTTAGCACTCCTTCACATAGGCATTGATCCACGATAGGTAGTCTGAAGGGGTGGAGGGAAACGGGTCTATATAATTAATTTTGTAATTTTTACTGCAGCAAAAGG